ACTAACAGGGTTTACTAGAATCCCACCACTCCACCACAGAGTCACCGCAGTAGACGTTAGATGAGCGCTGTCGCTCTGCGGCACTTGTTTAATGACTAATATATTTGTTTTAATTTATTATAGAATGCTTATATTTGCATTAGTTAGTCTACCTGTCAACTACCCCACCCAAGGTGGCTAGGTCAACTCAAAATTGTATTTTAATTTGAGGAGTAATTTTTGTCATTAATGCAGGCTTCGTGTCATGCTGCAGACAGATAACTCGATGGTGACAGTCACCGAGAGTTTGCCGGCGTTCGGTCCTTCCATAGAGGGCAGGACTGTGCCGTCGCCTACGCTTGTGAGGGTTGCGGGACTCGGAAACGTCGGAAACTCGTGCTTTCTCAACAGCGTGCTGCAGGTGTTACGCTACACTCCAAGTCTCTCTCACAACCTGCACAAGCTATTAAACGCGATGAGGGAGAGCGAGCTCCATGAAGCAGAGGTGAGTTGTAGTACAGGTTTGAGTCGTTGCATGTGATCACGACCACATAGTAGTTCTCACCAGGGAAAAAATTTATTTTTCGGGTGCTACTTTTCAAGCTCGCGTGCATGAAAATAGCACTCTAAAATTTGGTTTGCATTGAACTCTATGCAAATTTCCGGGGGCTCTTTTTGGCATTTCCGGGGCTCTTTTTGGAATTTCGGGGGCTAAATCGCCCCGAGCCCCCGTGTATTTTTTTCACTGGTTCTCACTCTCAGTCAGACATGGATTTGATCTAAATTTTTACATTATTGAGAGTTTCTGACATCTTAACACGTTCAACGCTGCCGGTGTTAACAATCCACCTACTGCCCTGCGCTGGGATTTTCGTGTTTTTACCGCATATTCACTTTTTGATTTACCACATTTCCTTTGCAGAAAAGCTAACCAAACTGACACATTTACTTTGCATGAGTGTTATCTCACCCTTACACGTTCAAATGGTATGAAAATCGTTCCCCTTCATAATAATATATTGATGTAAAAACAGGGAAAAAACGGACATTTCGTGCATTTTCGTCTCAAATGCCATCGCACCGGTGGATTTTCGCAAGTTTGTTATGATATCATTCGACAGTATACTATTTTTTCTGGAAAGAAATGTGACAATGCTTACACATGTGTGGGGTATGAACCTTGTTTTGTTTTTCTACATGCAAAAATACCTCAACATTTTATATACTACACAGTTAGGAAAACGGTATTAAAACAAACCTTGTTTCGATCTACGCATGCTAGTTTACTTTCTAGTTTTACGAATTTACCTTGAGTCTCAAAACTCATATTTCACGTTCGAATCAATGGTAGAGTATTGTATTCTTTAGTTCATGTATGACTTGGGTAATATAGACTGTCCCTGTTTAATTTCTAGGTAGGTAGTGCCTGCCATCTGTTGGAAATCAGAGTAACAAAAACCAATAATCTATCCACGAGCTGACTCGTGGATCCGCGGGGATGCATTTTGATTATTCCCACGAGCTGACTCGTGGATCCGCAGGGAATGTGTTAATGATCACTGAATGTAACTGGATAGAACATGGTCTTATTATTATTATCGAGTATCGTCAGCTATTCTAAAGATCTCACGTATAAGGTGGTATTTATTGTACCTGGGTGGTATGTTATTGTTAAACATCTCTCCACTTGTCTGTGCAGGTGACAGACCATGATGGATGTGGTGACGGGCCCTCACTCAGCAGCAGGACTGCCGTGTGGATGCTGGTAGAACGCATTCTCGACCTGTTTGCAGAGATGGACAGCGTGGAGAAGAACAACTCTCTGAGCTTCGTCGTGTACCCTCGCAGACTTCTCGAGACCCTCAGGTAAAACAATGAGGTCTGGTGCTGCCCTCTCTTGGAGCATCTGATGTGGATGTTGCTGTAGAGTATGCTAACATGGTAGTGGAACGTTTTGCTCAGGCTTGCCATTTATTGTAATGTATCTGTCTGCGTGTGTGAATGTGTGGATGTATGCAAATTTGCCATTTTTGCAGGGAGCTAAATCCTCTCTATGAAGGTAACTTACAACACGATGTGCAAGAACTATTGCATTGTCTACTCGGATATCTGCAGGACACGTGCGAACAGGTCCTTGGTATGACATTACATTCTTATTTACTTTCTTAAAGCATTTGATTGAAGATATATAATACTTCCTCGTTATAATTAATGTCTAAATAACGAATGTTTAACGACCTATTCGTGACACTTGCTACAAATTGAATTATTCACACTGCATTATGTAATCAGCAGTGAACTATAAGTGTTCATAAATGAAAGTTGCTTTATTCTATCTTACTATCATTTAAGGCCACAGGCAGGCGTCTTATCTCGCTGAAGCATTGATGTTCTTTCTAGCACTATTCATCACGCTCACATGACTAATGTCTCAGGGGCTCGTTGTCAGAAACATCGTAAAGTTAATGCTAATGTTAAGGCCCAAGGATAGAGAACATGGGTCCCAATAAAACCAATGTGCCTAAACCTAACCCTAACCCTAATTCTAACCCTAACCCTAACCCTAATCCTAACCCTAACCCTAACCCTAACCATAACCCTAACCTATTATATTGATATAATATTATATTTATATTGATGTAAATGACATTGGTTTTATTGGGACCCATTTTCTCTATCCTTGAACCCAAATGTGTACAGTTTGAGTTTATTTGTACTAATCCCACTATCGCCGTATCAGTAAAATCTATTCCGTTAACCATATAAATGTAGTGTTTTACGCGAAAATTTTGACCTCTAGCCATAAAATCAAATGTTTGGGAATGTCACGTATTGTATATAGCTTCAACATTCCCCAAAATAAGTATAACTATAAGCAATTTCCGTTGCCTTGAATCTTGATGCCGAATTTGGATACTGCAACGTACTAGTACTAGTAGTCACAGGCACTTGGGCCGTTTCAATAATAAAATGATGGTTAATAAATACAACTTGTCAGTACTAGACCTACCAGTACCAGTAATAGTCTTAATGTTTGATTTGACCTAACAACTTCACTTCAATACCGTCCAATACACCGCTGCAAAACATAGCGCGCACACCATTGTGCTTGCACAAATACACAGTAGGTTAGAGAAGGTAAGAAAGCATACGCACAGAAATTCCAGAACGCTCGAATTTTTTCACAACACTAGAGCCAAAATACACAAACAAACGCCATGATATCGGCATCTGTGTGTAGCTGAATGGTCACTTGTTCGAAATATACGTCTTGCAACCTGGTACCACATACTTTACCCAGAATTATATGAGAAATCCTGCTTGAATTTGCCGCGAATTTCCCATGAAGCCGCTTCGTAAATGGGAGCAATTTCGGCCATATACGTGAGTAATGGCGGTGCATTGCTTTCTGGGAGGAGTTGCATCCGCCTGCCCAACTCCAAGACGAGCTACGCCGGCGCCGCCGCTAAGTGACGTCACACGGGCAACTACCGTGATTGGTCAAAGGATCTAATGGCGCAGTTAGGGATTTCCGGATTGTTGGTCCCATTTACGAAGCGGCTTCATGGGAAATTCGCGGAAAATTCGAGCAGGATTTCTCATATAATTCTGCGGTAAAGTATGTGGTACCAGGTTGCAAGACGTATATTTCGAACAAGTGACCATTCAGCTACACACAGATGCCAATATCATGGCGTTTGTTTGTGTATTTTGGCTCTAGTGTTGTGAAAAGATTCGAGCGTTCTGGAATTTCTGTGCGTACGCTTTCTTACCTTCTCTAACCTACTGTGTAGTTGTGCATGCACAATTGCGTGCGCGCTATGTGTTGCAGCGGTGTATTGGACGCAGGGTTCTCCCCACGTTGCGCAAACGGGGCGCGCCCGCCCCGTTTGGAAAAACTCCCCCCCGTTTGAATCGTTGCGCCCCGTTTGAATTACCTCCGCCCCGTTTAAATTCCACCACAATAAAACTTTTTGCCAGCGCGAGAATCGATCGTCAAGAATTCCAATTCGGCCAGGAAAACCAGCGCGTATATTTTTACCGTGCCACGCATGCACTGCAGACAATACACAAGTACAAACAGCTAACCTGTCCCACACACAACACTAACTGTACACCGACTCGGCTATCTTATATATACAAGAACCCCAAATACCGTCTATGGTGTGGTGGCGATTTTACGCATTAATTAGTGGTACGGTAAAAAAAACACACCCCCCGGACCCCGCTAGTTTTTCCACCCCCCTCCCCTCCCCCCTCTCCTCCCCCCTGTTTGAATTTCATCCTGGGGAGAACCCTGCAGCAGCAAGGTTATATTCCTCATTTCAGTTGGCTAAAGCCCGGCGCACACGTGGCGATTTTTATCGCTAGTACCGGCGATTCTGTTGCCGGCGACAAAATCGCCGAGAAATCGCCACGTGTGCGCTGCCTGGCGTCACCGATTTTGACGCCAGAAACTCGTCGCTGGAATATCAAACATGTTTGATATT